AACCGTGCCGCTGACGCCAGACGCTCCATGCAGGCCGCTGGGCAAGTCTGTCTTGCAGAGTGCCACACGTGTCACGCAAGTACACAAGAAAATCGCCGTCCTCATCTGGTGCCGCGATACGGGCCGACTGTATTGGTGGATCCATGCGACCTGTAGTCCAATCGCGCGCTCTGTGGATACATAGGACCACGAATGTTCCAACCCTCGTGAGGACCACATCCAATTTGACAGTATGTGTGGGAGAAACACCTGACGAGTACTGCCGGTATCAGACCGTGCGCCACTTGGTTCTTACAGCAACGAAACAAGTGGAAGAAACACCTATGCCAGCAGATGCATCAGCAGTAGCCGAGACTCCATTCCTTTGTGGCACGCAACACGAAAGCATCTCCCCAACACTGCTGTACAAACGAGCTGACGGATTAAGAGGGCCCTGCCCCGGCCCGACCTGCACGGCTCGGCCAAGTGCTGACGACTGCCGTACAGCAACTACGCGACACTCGCACTGCCTTTCGGCACCTCCAGGCTCTGAAGCCTTCAGCTTCTGAGCTCCGAAAGAGAGGACCGGAGATCACTGGTTCAGCTGTTAACGGACGCTGGCTTCTACCTCTCGTTTACTCATCTTCCCTTGCTCCGGTATACCGGGTCCCACTTGTCATTATTTGTCAAGCACTTGACCGTCTAGCATTTACGTGGCTTGCTACATGTCTTGCGAAAGGTCGCTGCCACCACTTCCAGCCGCAGAATCGGCTCTCAAAACTAGGGCTCTTTCTTTGTATGCGGCATCCTACTTATTGAACATTTTGGTTGGTCAATGTTCCGGGAAGCAGGCATACACATGCAGCATATTCATCTAGAGGACCATTCGTTAAACGTCTCACTGCTCGCTGCACCCGGCCGCAGCCAATCAACAACCCCACATGAGTTGCATGCACATTGAGTCTTGACGTTCTGTGCCTGTCGGTTAATTAAGAGATACGTGCTGCGAGACCTTCAGGCATTCCTTTAAGGAGCCCAAATGGTTTCGGAAAGGGCACGCGGCGATGCCTCAGATCCTGCTTAGGAGGGAAGACCAGGCAGCAAGCAGGAAGCAAAGGAACGTGCCGCCGGTCTTACAAGCGAGGTTTGCGCTTCCATCCTTCGGAGCACAGCTGGCATCCTCCTCCCTACGAGCGCAGCCCACGGAGCACAAGCAACCTTCTCCGACACTTGCCTTGTACATGTCAAAGCAAGCCTCCGTCTCAAACACGGGCAGCTCATCCAAGCTGCTGGTCGGGATCTTGCCCAACAGTCCCTGAACTGCGGCATTCAGACCAGCCGCGACCATGTCAAAGTTCTCATCGCCAGTGATCCATCTGCCAACACAGTTCACAGCACCCAAGGCCGCCGTAGATCCCAGAGAGAACTTCGTGAGCGAGTCTGTCAACTCGCTGCTGACCGCACTCAGAACCTGGGAGCTTCAGAAGAAAAACCGATTTTAGGGGTTTAGGGTTTAGGGTTTAGGGATCTTAGGGTCTCAACCCTAAACAAG